AAATATGGAGGCAAAGAGCAAAAGAAAGAGTGAAAAGAATTGCAAGGAATTGCCTCTGGAAAGCAGAAATATGGACTATGTCAAAGGGGCGGGGGACAACTCTTTTTTTAAGATAAGCCTTTCGATATAATTTTAGTTTTACAATTTTGTACACATATTACTTTAGTAAAAACTAAAATAAAAATCTGGCCTATCTCTTGGTGACCTATGATTAAACAGAACCTCATTTTAATTAGAAATGTCTAAAAAGTCCCAAGAAAGGAGTAATCCCAAATTGTGCCAGATTCTAAAAATCTTTTCATCAGATTCAACTCCATAAAAGAGGTGTCCCAAATCTCTGTTTCATAAATTGAAAATGTATGTGACTATGTATGTGGAAGCAAGAAAGCCAAGAGCACAAAACAGGCTGGTGGAACCGAGTCTGTGTCTTCTCGTTCCCCTTAGAGTGCTCTGTGCTTTTAGGAAGCATTGTTCCTAGAAAGGAAATTCCAAGCTTTATTTCTTGCAGTTGAAATTGAACCTAAAATGTCATCAGAGATTGAATACTTACTGGTCCATGAGGAAATGAGGTAGAGATTGTAAAAAACATCCTAGGCCCATAACCACACAGCCGACACCAATCATTATAGGTCTATGCAATTTGGATCCAAAATAACTCACGAATATAATCAAAAAAAGATTTCCTAGGAAAAAAATTGAGATAAAAATAAATATTTCAGTAAGTATAAACAGCCTCCTTCAACCATTTACTACCTAGCCTTTATTGTATAAACACTATTTGAAATACTGGGATTGGGGCTAGGGATTCATGAAACAATAAATGAATAAGACACCATCCCTGCCCTAAAGGAAGGCCGTTTCACAAGGCTGACAGGTATATAAACAGATCTCTGTGGAACACTGACAATTAAAGAGGGCAGAGAAAGAAGCCAGTGGAAGGGATTGAAGAATGGCTCTGGGAAATTTTAAAGGCTGTATGTATTTGTCAGGCTGTATTTATATTTTAAAGGNTATATTAACAAACTAATGAGGACAATGTGAACATTGTGCAGAGTAATTCCTGATTCACTTAAGACACAATATCCAAATGCACTAAAGAAGTTTTTTCATCTTTGCCACTTAATCAGCATACATTAATATCATAAAAAACTATAAATGTGCAATCCCTTGACAGCTAACTTTCAATTATCTGCACATGGATATCTACCTTTTAGATTATATAATATCAACTTTCTGTGGTTTTTATGTGATCATTTCCTGGAATTAATTACTGTGGGATAAGGAACAAAAACTAAAAAAAATAATAGACTCAACAGGGTATAATTAAGAAGATAAAGACTGGAGGAAAAAAACAACACAACAAAACAAGAGTCCAACTTTGGATTCTCTGAGGCCTGCTCATAAGAAATATACCCCTACTTTCTGAGAATCCAGACAATAATTCCTGCATGTGTTCATTAACCCCTAAAGGGAACAAAACATTTGCCCATTATAATGAGAGAGCTTAGGAGAATCTCAAACACTGTGATAGCATAATGTAATGACTTTTTCTCGTCTCATAAGACCAAACCGATTAATAAATTGTGACCATTTACCTTAGGCAAATTACCACAAGATCCACATAGCATTTCTCAGAAAGTAAATTATCCTAAATTATGCAACAATGGAGGAAAATATGTCCAGTGCAGTCTCTCTGTTAGAAATTATGTTGGACTAGTTTCTATATTTCTATTAGATAAGAGAAAACCAAAAGAAAACTTGCCCTCTAAGTTCCAAATGAACTACAGTGTTAAAATGTCTTCCCCTTAACAACTGCCCAGTCATGCCCATAGAGTTTGGCTGTGAAAAGTGGACAAAGAATTCTGTCTCCATACCCATGATCCCATGAGACATGCCTGCTTCAGACAAAGAAATATATTAACACCTTTGGCAGAGGGTGGAAAGAAATGTAAATAATAGCTGAATATTACTCAATATTGTCTTCGATAGGATAGGAAATAAAAGGGCAATAAAAACTCTGCCTGGGGCNCCTCTCCCTAGAATTAATACTATATAATATTTTAATAAGAGTCTCACTGAAGTTTGAATTCTGTACAACTCTAATTGTTTTATAGGTACTAAAAATATTTAACTGGGTAAGTAATGACATTTTCTCTATAGAGCGTACTGTGCACTGTAACCACCAAATGATGTTTGATAAAGAAATTCTCCCCAATTCTTGAAGCAGCAGCTGCTTAGTACAATAACAAAGATTAGGCCAAGGGGAACTGAAAGGGAGGAATATACAGATCTTTGAAGACTTAGCCATTTCTGTTCTAAGCCAAAATAGTTGTCAAGCCAGGAGGATACTCTGTGGAGCCATGTTTTCAGGAAAGTTAGTGAAGACTTATTTTCATCTGCTATAAACTGACCAGGTGCCACCCACAGATGTGAGGGTCCTGAGCAAGCTGGGTCTGGAAATTTGTGGTGAGGTCCAACTCTCAGTCACTCCCAGTCCTGAAAATTATAATCTCCATTTCTGAGTATTCACGTTTTTTTCTGTGGTGAGTACAGTGACTTGCATCTAGAGATCACCCGCAAATTCTAGGCCTACTGTAGGGCAAAACTGAAAATATCAGATAATCAAAGAATCAATGCACTTTCCTGAATATTCACCAGACTGGGAAGTTTCTGATTTATCTAATAAAATGCCAATTAAAAAAGTAGGAAATAGGATTTGGGTCAGTTTTTGTCAAAACCCTGCTCAAGAAGAGAGCACAGGACACTGCTGATATCACTGCTTTCGTTTGTTTCTCAGGAGATTCCTTTGGCTTAGATTTCCTGAGACAGCCCTCCGTACGTTCCTTGAAACTATTTGGGCTCCCTCTGATTCAATGCTGGCAGTGAAATTCCCAGCCTTGGGGACTACCGTAACTTCCCCTGATATAAATTCAGCATAAAAATGTCCCCATCCCAGGGACAGGAAGTTCTGGTCTGAGGTAAATCAACAGGGTCACCCCCAGGCTAAGGAGCACCAGATTATATAGCATATTAAGGGGTATGTTGGTGCCTGGAACTACAGGAAGCTAGAAGTACCACTGTTGCATTAGACTGTAAAGTATCTCTGGTAAAGAGCGAGACACAAGACACAACACAAGTTTCTAGTTGAGTAGAAAGAGAATAGAGTAAATCAGAACTATAGCATACTTGCCTACTTTCTCTGCTATAGA